TACGTTTGCTCGAGATTGAAATGCAATATACTCGAGGGACCGGTCTTTCTGGCTGCACCACTAATGCTGTTTCTAAAACTTAAACTTCCTCCGTAAAGCGTGGAGAACAGCCGTGGTACGGGATGAAGCGGAACAGGGACTGGGACTGGCATCACTGACGGGAATGTTCCCGATCTTACAGTATTTGCACCCGATATCATTCTCGAATTGAAAATAATATCCGGCGGTGGGATCCCAGCGGGAATGCTCTGTATTTTTGACATATGATGTTGCTTCATGATGTGACCAAAGGTTGCGTCCTTGTCTAATGTGGAACTTGCGATACAATCAGTCAGATGACCTGCCGAGGGAAAGGCCATCTCTTTAGTTATATCATATCCATCCAGTTTATATGCATTTAATTTAGGCTGCTTTAAGTCGTTGTGATAAAACGCCGAGTTTTGTGGCAATATCTTGAGAGTATCGCCGCCACTGCTGGCAGTGTATTGTTGATAACTGTGACAACCATATTTAGCCATAGGCTGATACAAATTACGCGAACTTAAGTTCTTTGGAAATCCTATCGGCGAATACGGTTTAGCTTCAACAGCCTTTGATTTCGGACTGATTATCTTCAATAAATTATTATCGATCCTACAGTCACTAGGGAGGCAGACGTTTTCATTCGTGTCTAGGTTATTAGTCAAGGATGCGATAAAATTATTTGTACCAGTTATACCAGGGGAATAGTAATCGATTAAGGTTTTATAATCTTGGTCCACAGCTTGATCCAATTTGTAGCTACTACGAGTCTGCGGCTGCAAGAACTGAATCATCTGTTCATTAGGTATGTTACTGATACTTGTCATATTTAATCGAGCGGTATCGTGAGCCTCCTTGGCAAAATCGCTGATGTCGTTACGTTGTATATTGCTGCCAAAACAAGTATGTAGAGTCGTTGTGTCGGCAGGTGAGAAATGTGATGGCGAAGTTGACAGGAAAACAGATTCGGCGTTTAGGTCAGTCATCGCCGAGTTCGGCCTATATCCAAAACTCTGAGTGGTGTTACTGCTGATACTGTACATATCATGCATGTTCATCATAGATTGATTGCCATATGAGTTAGATGGCGTACAATTGTGTCTCAAGCTGTTGTGATACTCCAGCTCATTAATAGGAACTGTCGAGTTCGATGAATCCAAGGCGAGGGTTAACGCCACATTGAAATTAAGATCCGGTTTAGCACAACTTGGAACTCTCGAGTAATTTCCCATTAACTCACTCCTGTTGCACCCCATTGAAGGCGTCATTAAGGGCTCTGTCCAACTACCAGACTGTTTGCTGTAATTGATTTCATTTGTAGTGATAGTTGTTAGCAGATCGTTACACAGTGGCATACTGCTTCCATTTGTGTATATATTCCCATCATTCGAATGTACAACATGTGCCCGTGTATCAGATGAATATGTGTTTGGTGGAAGTTCATTGCTGCTGGCACTACTTTGTTCTGTTGATTGCCCCATGTGTGTATTCAGACTCAATATATTAAAATCATTACAAAGATTGTTTGTACGATGGTATTCACTCTTAACATTGTTATAGGTATTGTTTGTTAATTTGCCGCATGGATAACGACTTTCTAAGTGATCTACCACATCACTCAAATAACTGTTCAGACTATCTCCAATTTGATTAGGATAAGAGTTAACAAACTCAGCAGTTTGATAATTTCTGCTGTTATAACTATTGCGAAAAGTATCAATGGTCATGGAATCTTCATCAAGGATCTTTGACACCAGATCATTAACCATTGAATTATTTAAATCCTGACTATCATCATCTTCAGTATTCATCTAAACAGATTTTGGCATTTTGAAAACTCAACCATATTGACAATATTGTTATAGCAACAACATTATGCATTATCATTCTATAAAGTTAGCACAAAATTTATTAAATATCTATATTACTTACATTTCTTTTTGTGCTGTAGTCTGTTAAGTCGTAACTCCAATGATTATATTCTGAACCATGCAAGTCCCTTGAATATATTTTCCGTGGTACATCCAACATATTGACACTATGTTCAATCTCGTTATTCTGTATAGAGAACAATTGTCGATATAAAATTCTTGTAAATGACAAGTGGACTTGGGTAATCCATAAAACAAAAATATACAGTAATTTAGTGTCGTCAACAATAATTTAGTAAAGCTGATAGTTTACGATTAACTAAACTTCGAATGTCACGACTGTTAGCATCGAAAAAGCCTTTGAATAATATATATTATTTATTTAGCGACAATTATTATAGGAAATGTATTCAACCATATAAAATAGCATAGAATCTGTCGATTGTTTTCGAACGACGCGAACGAAAGGAAAGAACAGTCGATTTATTACATGAAAATATTAAACGACGTAAAAGATGCGAGACATGCGACGTGTGCTGACGAAATAAAAATCCCAATAACCGAGAAATCGAACGAAGTAAGAAAAGTTGAAGCTACGTTATGATCGTGGCTATGCCTATGGCAAATTCGCTACACTCGAATACACCCACACGCTGATCGAGACGAATGTAAGGATAAGCGCAGATATTATACCATCACTATTTGCATTCTTGCGGACGAATGTGAGAAATACACGAAGCATGATTTCTTATATTCACGTTTTTTCGTTCACTCGCTCGGTGCAGCTTCAAACAAACGCGGATCGCACCCTTCTCCCTTCTTTCTCAGGTTTACGACACAAGAATTCTGTTCCTATTAGACAGCACTTTCTGTGTACTTTCCTGCACTTTCCTCTCCCGAATATATGTACACAACAGATAAAAAAGATATTGGTACCGCCGTTCTTATTATTTTAATACAATTCTATATGAAGACAGATATTACTAAATAAAAATTTCTGTTCCTAACGTGCGTATGAAAACAATATTTCCCGACGAAATACTTTGCCGCATTATTTGTCTTTCCTATGGAAACAAAAATATGGAGAGAACACGATGAATAGTATGACAACTTTCTCAACTTACTGTACTTGTGTCATTTGTGGTGCAGAAAATGTAACATAGTGCAGCTAAGTAGGAGGAACCCAATACTATTTTGATATAATATTTAATGAAACGCCAAACAAGACTTCGTTGTCTTTTAATCTGATGAAAGAAGTGTGACAGGGTGAGGAGAGGGTGAGGGGAAGAGAGAAAGAGAGAGAGAGAGAGAGAGAGAGAGAGAGAAAGAGAGAGAGAGGAAAAGAGAGAGGGAAAGGGAGAGAGAGAGGTAGAGAGAGAGGGGGGAGAGAGAGAGAGTGAGAAGGGGAGAGAAAGAGGTTTTTAAAGAAAACCTTACCTTGCCAACGATGGCGAAAGCATTATCGCCGAGAATCATAGATGTCTGATTACACACTTTGGACAACGCCATTCGTTAAAAAAGCTGGTCGATGGTTACTGTCTCACTACTATCACTGATTGTATCGTCGTTACTCGCCATCACTTTATCGCGACGATCAGTTACAATCGGTTTTCTTAACTAGTTTTGATGGTGATTCCTATTTTTCTATTGTCATCCATCACTACCGCTTGTTATTCACATCTTCTGTACGTACCGCTCATATACCACTCGTACACTGTTCACATTATTCACTGACATTTCACTGACCCATATGAGTCTCATCTAAGTGGTCGAAACTCGCGTCACTTTATTGTAGATAATATACGACGATTCACATTTTATCAACCGTCGATTAGAAAGCATATTACCAATGAAGTAATAATAAAGATGGTTGACTCTAAATTATTTTCGTAATAGCAAAGAAACTTTCGAGCTATGATTAAAGAAGAATAATAACATACATACATTATTGTAGTTTTTCAATTTTAATAATACATTTTTAATTACCCCGATAACAAAGCGTGTCAGCACGTTAGTGCATGCTGTGGTAAGCACATCGAGCAAGAAATATGCTGCCACCGTACTGTCTTGCATCGATAAAGTTTGCATGTTACCGTCACGACATGTAATTCACCCCGATAACAAAATGTTTGCATGATGATCTCACAGTGCGCGCTTCTGTCGTTGTACAGCGAAAAGGAACAGACCATTCGCCTTTATTTCTTTTCGCATGTATAACGGACATGATATAAATACAAGCCGATATTCTTTAGCCAATATTATTTAAAAATTTAATTAAAGTAAGTTTTATTTTTGTTTATATTTATTTATTGTTTCACATTCATTTGAAAAATATACAAATTGCAAAAATTCGTTCACGTAAAATTATTCATAAAATTTCGACTGGGTATAAGTACAGGTTAGCTCGAATAATTTTTCTTTCAAATTGTTCTTTCGAACAATACTTCGCGTAAAGAGATGATTGATAGAAAAGTACTTTTAAAATCAGATAATGTTGCATGTAATTCTAAAATGAATGATTCAACTAACTTTTACATAAGGCAGGAATTTCGAAATGTAAAACTTACTAACAAGTCTTCTCGAACAAGTTATAATAATGTGGAAAATGAGAAGAAAAATAAATCTGAAATTGAGGAATCTTTAGTTCTTGGTGTAGAAAGAAATTTCGAGGAAGAGCTTGCTTATGTGTTTCTAAAAACACGTATTAACCATGTCCAAGCAAAAGAGATTTTGCAACTTCTCAGGACTCATTCTTGTTTTTCACAACTTCATTGTGATCCAAGAACAGTTATGAATATACCTCGTACACCATGTAATATTATTGACATTGCTGGAGGACAGTATCTACATTTAGGTTTCGAGAAAGGAATTCAGTCTATTCTTAAAATTATATCTTTAGATATCATCCCGAATAATTTAAAGATAGATTTCCATGTAGATAGTGCCGCTTTAGATAGTGCAAGTAAAATTCAACTGTATCCTATACAAATCAGAATTGCTAACATTTATGGAAGTAAGCTAGAAATTATAGGTGTTTGGAAAGGATCCTCAAAACCTACAAATGCTACTGAGTTATTAAGACCATTTGTTGATGATGTGCTACAAGAATAATAAAGGAATAACTTTTAATGGGAAAAAGTTACATTTAGTATTTGTTGTTTAATCGCAGATACAGTGGCATGAGCTTTTGTGTTAGAACATCAAGGTCATAAATCTAGAATTCCATGTTCCAAGCATTGGATCACAAGAGAAAGTATTCGCCAAGGTGTTATGGTATATCTTGATGTAGATCATAGGTTGCGAACAAGCAAAGAATATGATATATGTTTAGATGGAGAGCATCATAATGAAGAAGGATCTATCGCACATCTTTCTATAAATTTAGTAAAACAAACTGTTTTCGATTATATGTACTTAGTTTGCCTTGGTGTTAGGGATAAAATGTTCTTGGCTATTATCAATAGAAAATATGCTTCTTCTGCAAAACTTTCACCTGCCTCTAAAAATTCTTTCTGATAGATTGAAGTTAGCTAAACAATTTTGTCTAAAAGAATTTGCAAGACTACCAATTGATATAGCAAAACATCGTACTTTCAAGGCTACAGAGCATCGTCAAATTTTATTATATACCGGTCCTATTATTTTTGTTGACCTTTTAAATGAAGCTATGTATTTGCACTTCCTACTATTACATTCTGCAATTCGCATTTTGGTAGACGATGCCTCATGTAAAGATGCAGCACTTATTAATAAAGCAGAAACGATGTTGAAAATTTTCGTTAAAAGAGCTCCTAAATAGTATGGTGTTGAATTCGTTCTCTCCGCTAGTCGACAGTCCGGGGTCCAAGTCCGAAAAGTAGTCGCTCTCCTTAAACCAAGGGATAAAGTCCGCAAACGTAGCAGATTCTTCAGCACTGTTAATTTCGAACCATTTGTCTGGTAGACGATGCCCAGTGGATTTATAGAACGCCATGGCATCAGATGGATTCAGACCCAACTTCGCCATGACAATCTTCGCTCTTCGATTTTCAATGAAAGTCGGGCATATGTCCGAGCTGGTTCTATGATTAGGGAAGGGAAGTTTCCTCCGCAGGCAGTTTATACAAGCCAGATGAGATGATGAGCAACTTTTCGAATGATGTCCCTTGCTCGCACAGGTTGCACACATCATGGCTCTCGATCCACCTCTGCATTGAGCCTCAATATGACCGAAACGTTGGCAATTGTTGCATCTCTTTACTTTCTGTATATATGGTGCAAATCTGATCTTTTTCCCAAAATAGATAGCTGCTTTGGGAGCGGATAGGCCTGCAAATGTTATCATTATCATATTGGATGGAATATAAACGAACTTGGATTTATCGGCAGGATCAACTATCCTCTTGTGAATATGCTTGACTTCGAGTATTTCCGGTAGCTGGGTTATGTAATGAGGAGGTGCCTGTAAAAATTGTTTAATTTCCTCCGTTTTCAGAATAATCAATATCTCTGGTAACAACCCTGGAAGTGATACGATAATCCGGTACGCAAGCTATCCAAATGGTATCCCTAATTACTTTCTCCTCCATGACGGACGTTTTCCACCATTTTATTGGCCGCTACCCCGTCTGGGAAGGAGACTGAGAATTTATATGTTCCAATAGATTTCAGATTGATCGCGGATCTCCACAATGTCGGAAAAAGTCTAGCCATTATTTTGCCAATTTTTATTTCGCTCCTGATAATGTTTTTATCGATACGGTTGTCTACTACTTTGGATATATATATTTCGAAAGGACCTTTGGACGGAGGTCCGTATCTATTCTGCATGAGTCTTCTATGTGTTTCGGTCAATGAGTTACTAGACTTTTCCTTCACTCCCAACGAGGGATCAGAGGTCCCATTCGAATATGAAAATGTAGATGTAGAAGAATTATTGCGTTGATCTCTCACCGATTCCGCGTATAAAGAATACTGCGATCTGTCATCAAGGGTATTTAGAGGAGATTACGTGTCCTTATCAGAATCGAGGTTTCCTTTGTCTATATCCATGGTATAAAATTCCGAAGTGAGCCTTGCAGTGCGTGACGAAAAACCTTTCGACTCGAATGAATGTAATCAACAGTGGGATTAGCGATAAAACTTTGTGAGAATGCCAGGTCTAAAATATAAAATGAGAGGAATAGGTTATATTGACAAGGAGTAACTGATCGTTCTCGTTCCGTGTCCAGAACCGAATTCACTCCGTTTAAAGCAAGTTGTGGAATTTGGCCTAAGGCTAATATTACATTTGTCGTACGACAATCTTTTCGAATACGTTGATTGGTTAATAAATAGAATATTTCTAGGATTGCTTCGCGTACGCCAATCAATGTATCCGAAAAGCTTATCGTACGACATATGTAATATTAGGCTAATATTGTTTTCCATACGGACTAAGGTTATATTCACAATTCACTGTTACTCCTAACAATCTATAATATAAGTGACGTGAATTATAGGTTTTCAGTACTGAAGGTTTCAGAACACGGCTTACAACGTTACCACCAGTTACCACATGTAATATTCGTTCAAAAGAAACGTATACATATTCTAATACGAATATTCGCAAATTATTCAGAGAATACATATTAGCGATTACTTGAGAAACGTATACGCTTTCCGACCACTCGTAAATTACGTATACGCAACGTTGCGAGTGAGTTACAGAATCGAGCCCCTGCTTCACCCTGCTTGTGGCGGCTGAGCGAAGACGAGCTCGCGGGCGTCGCGGTAGATAGCGGGAGAGGGTCGACCGCTACATTTTCACCATGTCAGAAAAAGGGAATATTTTATATGAAGATGATGTGACATCTGAATGGAAAGATTTATCATTAGGACAATTATTGTTAAAACAACTAACACTGCATGGTACTTGTGTAGCACAAGTAAGTATATGCTTATTAATATAATTACATGATTTCTCCTGTTTATTGTTTTATTAAAATAATATTTTTATAATTTTATCTTGTATATACGTAAATTCAAAATATTTTGTATCGTAAATATAAAACCTATGTATTGTTTCATCCCAGCAAACAATATTACATGTAACATGAATGTTGTAATTTCCTACTCAACAATATAACAGTTATATTGTTGAGTAGGAAATTACAACTAACATGCATATTAAATGTAATATTGTCTTTGCTGGGTTTTTATATTGCAATTTTTTCAATACAAGACATCTATTTAATTAAATCTTCAAAAAATCTTTTAGTTTATCCATACTAACTGACATTTATAATTATTTTTATGTATTGTAATTTGTAGTATTTTATACAACAATTACACAATACTTCATTTTTGTAATATTTTATACAATTCAAGTTTATATGTTGCTTTATGTTTATACATATATATATATATATATATGATATATATGTGCATACATATGTACATATAATAACAATAAATATTTTTAACAGATAAACGCCCATACAGGCAAGGAACAAACTTTCGAACATATCTTAAACACTAGTCGTAAGTTGGCAATTTTCTTTCAGAAAAAAGGAGTGAAAGTAAATGATACAATTGCCATATGCAGTGAAAATAACTTGGAATTTCATATTGTTATATGTGCTATATTTTATGTGGGTGCTACAGTCTGTCCATTAAATCCACTATATTCAGAAAGAGAATTCAAACATGCACTTGCCATTTCTAAGCCAAAATATTTATTTATTTCTGCAATAGCATTTAATAATATAAAAATGATAATCAAGGATTTATACTGGTCACCAAAAATATTAATATTAACTGAACATCACAATATCAGTACAACATGGATGAATTTAAGCAAAGCAATATCAAATATATCAAACAGTGATATGAATATGTTCCGAGCTATTTCTGTTGATATAAATAACCATGTAGCAGCAATTTTATGCTCGAGTGGAACTACAGGACTACCTAAAGGTGTCATGTTGACAGACAAAAATTTCATTACAGTCATAAAACATGTAATGGATATATATATACAGATTAATGAAGGAAAACTTACAGGTTTAGCATTGCTACCATTTTTTCATGTATATTCATTTACTATATTGCTGGTTAGACTCATAACTGGAAACACGTCTATAATCTTTTCACATTTTGATGAGGAATTGTTCCTACAATGTATTGAGAAATACAGAATTGAGAATTTAATATTGGTGCCACCACTTATGGTGTTCTTGGCTAAACATCCACTTGTAGATAAATATGATTTATCATCTGTTAAGGTAATAGCATGCGGAGCAGCACCTTTGTCAGAAGAGATTTATGAGGCTGTTACCAAGCGATTGAATGTTCCTGTAATTAAGCAGGGTTATGGATTAACAGAAACTACTCTAAGTGTGCTATGGTCAACAGGTGATAAGGCAAAACCAGGCAGTTTTATGTTAGCTCCAGGCATGTCTGCAAAAATCATACCACTGGGAGAATTTGAAACAGATAAAACTTTAGGGCCAAATTGCAGAGGAGAATTATGTTTCAAGGGAGATTTAATAATGAAAGGTTATTGTAACGATGAAGAATCTACTAGAGCAACAATTGATAAAGATGGTTGGTTACATACAGGAGATGTAGGATACTATGACAAAGAAAGATACTTTTACATTGTTGATCGTGTAAAGGAACTTATTAAATATAAGGGTTATCAAGTTCCCCCAGCTGAGCTTGAAGCGATTTTATTAACATATCCTGGTGTGAGAGACGCAGCTGTAATTGGCATTCCAGAAGAAATAGCTGGAGAATTGCCAATGGCTTTTATTGTAAAACAAGATAATTCCAACGTACGTGAAGAGGATATAATTCAGTATGTTAACGAGCGTGTGTCAAATCCTAAGCGACTCAGAGGTGGTATAAGATTCATAAATAGCATACCAAAGACTGCGTCTGGTAAAATTCTGCGTCGACTACTGCGCGATTCTTTACAATCAAAATTATAAGCATGTCAAATATCTACCTTTTATAATGTGTATTATTTGCTATATTTTTTTTAGTGATATTTTGCATAAGCAAAATTCATGATTATTATGATTAAATACAATTAATATAATAATTAATTAATACAAATAATATAACTTAATTCTTTAATAAAGATATTTATATTCATATTATATACAACAATGAATTCTACACAGGATGTCTGAAAAACATAATAACATGAAGTATTTAATTTGATTTACAGGTTCATATCATGCTTTGGATTTGTTTCTGATGTTTCATGAACATTCAATTTATTTTTTCAGAGGGAGGAACACCTAGAAACATTTCTTTCTGAAGAAATAAATTGAAATATTCATGAAATATTAAAAACAAATCAAAGATAGATGCTGTGTATACACACACATATATATATATAAGCTTGGAAATTAAATAAAATATTTCTTTGTACTGCTAAAGCTTAAAATATGACAGAATGATTACAGAATAATATATTAAAAGTAGAGTTTTTTCTAGATAAAAATTTATATTAAAACGAAAAGCATATTCTTTTTCTATTTTTAACATTAAATTTTTTGCAATTGATCCATGATTATAATGTCAAACTGTTCACAAGGTTCATCAAAAATTAAAGTTTTTTTTTTAATATATTTTTGACAGCTCAATAATTATAGAGAAATTCTATTATGCTCTTACAATTTTTGTCAAACATTCTATATATTTTCTATATATTTTCAATAACAAGGAAATAAGTACAAATTAACTTCTATAATATATTGGAAAACTAATTATGATTTTTTCTCTTATATTATATACATTTAAAATAGACTTACAAAAGTAGAGTTTCAACAAGTTGACTTGAGTGTAAATTTTGAGTTAATTGTGAGATACTATATTTACTAAGTCAAGAAAACATTTTTGTTTTCTTTTATATCTATTCAATTATATATATGTTGCCATTATCTATAAGGGAGGTAAAAAGGAAAAGACCGAAAATTTTGTAAAAATTAGGATATATAATTGGTTGTAAAATTTGCTCCTTGTTCCTTATGTAATATACTAAACCTGTTCCTAATATACTATATGTGTATTTCTTATGTTGTCACTAATTTAATAATAAGTATAGTTAAAATAACGATTAGTTAGATCAAAAATAAGCAAAATTATAAAAGTTATAAAATTACATAAGTTGCATTTGTATACTAATTTTTTAACTCATATTTTCATTATATTAAAAATTAATATTACTTAGAAACAAATATTTATAAAATTCATATAATTGAATCCAGATTGTTTAATTGCTTTAAAAACATCAATCATTAAACAACAGAATGCTTTGAAATACTTTATCTTATGCACATACATGCACATATATATACACGGTATTTCAAAATAAACGAATATATATTTAACTATAGTGACTATATGAATATATATATATATATATACATAGATTGCTTGATCAATTTAGAAATTTTCTCTGCTTAGATATATCACTATAGTTTTCATATTTTCCTAAATTTAAATAATAAAATGATAAATTTAAATAATAAAATGTTTAATGTTGAGTTCTTGAAAAAGATCAAATATATATATGCTAAAGAATTCGTGATAGAAAATCTTCCAGTCCGTTGTGTATGTATGTATGCATGTGTATATGTGTGTATATATGATATCTACGCGCGTGCGCATGCAGGTAAGCATAAGTTTCTTTTATTTATTTTTTTTTAATAAAACCGTTTAACCAATCGGAAATTGTTCCCAAAAATTCGTGCTAGTCAATACACATAATGTATTATATTTGCGCGCATGTGTGTATTGGATATATAAACAGATATTTAACAAAATTACATACAATTCAGTAACAGTCTCCAATATTTCAATTTGCCTTTATATATCATTTACAGAAAAAAAAGAAATCAGGTCTGTAACATCTATTTTAATAATGGAAATTAGAGAAACAAATAAATTTTATATAAATATCACTGTTTTTTAAAGCTTTTCAGGATTGGATAAATGTTGTCAAAGGCTTCATAAATTTCCTTTCGAACCTTTGCACCTGGAAAAAATTAAAATTTTTTTTTAATTTCTCGATAAATATGAAGTTAAAAATATAGAATTAAAAATATGAGGATATAGATTTTGATAGCAATATACTATAACTTTATATACTATAATTTTATATTATAATTTTGATAACATGTTAACAGTTTGAAAACTTTGTAACAGAAAATTAAAAAGTATTTTTTAAAACATTATGTGAGCTTTGTTGAGGTTACTATGATGCTATAGAATCTGAAAACATGGATAGATACTCACCTGTCAATACTACTTTTCCTGAAACAAATATGAGTAATACAATCCGAGGTTTCACCATTCTATATATCAATCCAGGAAATAATTCTGGTTCATATGATGAGAATTGCCCATGAGAAAGCACTAAACCCTCTAATCTAATTGGAAACTTAACGTCACAGCTACCGACCATATTCTGGATCTTAAAGTCTAAAAACTTTGCCTATTTATCAAATAATAATAACCAAATTAACAATGGAATAAAATTTATATTATCAATTAACATAAAAATTTACAAATATATTATATCTTAATTACACAAATTGATTATACTCACAGGAAAACCTAGTTTCTGTATAATTCTTGCATACTTTCTAGCTGCAAGACGCGAATCTGCTTCACTTTTTGCACCAGTACAAACCATTTTACCACTACTAAATATTAGTGCAGTAGTTCTGGGTTCTCTTATTCGCATAATGACAGCTGCAAATCTTTTTGGGTTGTATTCAGCGTTCCTAGCATGAAGTGCTATTTTCTTCAAGTCAAGTTTACAATTTAAATTAACAGTAGATACGATATTCCTAAGATAAAACAGAAACATGATATGTAAAGAAATAAAGTAGGAAAAACACATGTTAATATGTTAATTTCTCTATAAAATTACTGTAATTGTGGCAATATTCCAGGGTCAGCTGAAGCTGGTGTCATTGGTGTCATTGGTCCTGGAGTTGAAGGACCTATTGATGCTGGTGCGATTTGACTATTTTGTGGTACTATTGGAGACATCATATTTTGCTAAAAAATAAAAAACAAAACTAATAGAGCAACATTAATATATAATATTATATTTTATATATGTATATATATATTACATCTTTTTTCTAAATTGAAAATAATTTAACATATTGATATTGAATTACTGGTGTTTGTGGTTGCATGAGACTCTGAGGTGTTGCAAATGTTGGAGTTGGTGCATAGGTATGCATAGTTTTCTGCGGTGTTATCATCAGCATACTGCTCTGCATGTTAGGACTCATCGAATGTAACTGTTGTAGTTGATATTGTTGCGATTGTTGTTGTTGCTGCAAAGCATTAGGAAGGATTTGTTGATCCTCTTCTGGCTGATGCAGAGGTGTACCAATACTGGGTATGCTAAAACCTGGACTAGGAAGCATCTGATCCATCTTGAATGTTTATTCAATCTATATACATGTAACTGCAATCTTAAAATTACAGTTGGATATCCATGAGGTAGTTGATGTTTAACTTATATAAGATGCATATAATATACTACCTAAAACAATGTTGATTATTAATTTCAAAGTTTAGTTATCTTCTCTCAATTTAACGAAACAATCACCAAAATTGATATATGATCGATGATTGATGAAAATGATATATAAAATATATAGAAATAAACCTCAAAAATTTTCCCATGCATCATATATATAAAAACTTTGTTTTATAAGTTTAATTCATACACACATACACAAGTTATTCGTTGTTTGTTTATAAATGTAAATATACTGTGTTTAGAATCTTTGACAATAGCTCATTTATAGCATAGTTTATATTCAATAAATGTTTATACTTTTATTAACAATTAACTTCAGGACATATAGTATTTATGAAGTCATTGCTATTGATTTTCTTCTCTTTTCAAGTAGTTCCTTCTTGACTTATTAAGGGTCTACTCCTGTAGAGACAAATCCAGCGTTGACTTTGGAGGCCTCGTGCGGCGAGATCGCGAACCAACACCGTGCGCGCGAGTGCAAGAGCAGGTAGGTTGGATCAAGTCAGTTTGACAAGGACGAACAATCGATTGCACCGTCCTTGTCTTACTCACTCGGGCTTTCGCCGGCCGATACACGGCGAGAAAATGCTTTTCAGGCTTTTGGGTGAGTGAGCTAAGTGTCGCAGCGACTCACGTGCAATACCATTTTACAAATTGACGTATTTTGTCTAGCTGAAGTTATATGTCACCGCCAAATTATTATAGCATGTTCCTTATATTATTCCCGAGATCCCCACAAAGCCAGATTTTGCAATCCGGCCGTCTAAAATTTATGAAAAATAAATGAAGCGTCTGCCGTACCAAGCATCGCAGCGAATCACTCCAAAAATTATTTTACAAGATGCAAAATTTCGCCTCGTTGACGATACGTATAATTGCTAAACTGTTACAGCATATTCCTTGAACTATCCCTGAAGACCTTACACAGCCAGATTTTACAATCCGGCCGTCCCAAATTTATAATATATAAATAAAGTATCAGCCGTACCAGGAGTTGCAGCGAGTCAGGTGGAATACCATTTTACAAGAAGCAATATTTTGCCTTGTTGATGTAATATATGAACTTGTTATAGCATCTTCCTACGACTATTCCCGAGATCTCTACAGAGTTAGATCTTACAAACAGGCCGTCAACAATTTATTATACATAATTAAATCATCAGCTGTACCAAATATCGCAGCGAATCAGGCGGAATACAATTTTACAAGAACAAATATATTGCCACGTTGACAATATATATAACTGCCAAATTATTATGGTATCTTCCTTGAACTATCCCTGAGAACTCTATAGAGCCAGATTTTGCAATCCGGCCGTCAAAAATTTATCATACATTAATAAAGCGTTCGCTGTACCAAGCGTCGCTGCGAGTCACTCGAAATATCATTTTACGAGATGCAATATTTCGTCTCTTTGACGATACGTATTATTACCAAATTGTTGCAGCATCTTCTTCGTACTATACCCGAGATCGGTGCAAAGCCGGATTTTGCAATCCGGTCGTCAAAAATGTATAATATATAAATAAAGCGCCCGTCGTACCAGGCGTTGGAGCGAATCAGTTGAAAAATCATTATAGAAGATGCAAAATTTCACCTCCTTGACGATATGTTTCACCACCAAATTGTTATAGCATCTTTTTTTAACTATCCCTGAGAAACCTACAGAGCCAGATTTTGCAGTGAGGCTGTGAGAAATGTATCATAAATAAATAAAGATTTATGAAGCGTCGGAGCGGATCACATATAGTACTCGTAGCATTGTACAAAATGAGATATATTCCTTCACTGATGTAATATATCATCATCATATTGTTATAGCATATATCTAAAATTATTCCCAAGATCCTCACAAAGTCAGATTTTGCAATCGGGCTGTCTAACTTTTATTATAAATAACTTTATTATAAATAAATAGAAATGCGTCAAGCGTCAAAGTGGATCATACGAATACAATTTCACAAGAAGAGATATTCCACCTTGTTGGCGTAATATATGTAATCGCCGAATTGATATGGAATATTCCTTGAACTATTATCGAGGTCCCTACAGAGCCAGATTTTGCATTCCGGCCGTCAAAAATTTATCATATATTAATAAAGCGTGTGTCGTACGAAACATCGCATCGAGTCCCGCGAAATACCATGTTACAAGAAAAAATATTTTGCCTCGTTGCTCTCATATATCAGTACCAAATTGTTATAACATATTCTTCGATCTATCCCCGAGATCTCTACAAAGCCAGATTTCGCAATCAGGCCGTCTAACATTTATCGTATATAAAAGACTGTACCAGGCATTGCAGTATGTCACGTACAATACAATTTTGGAACATTTATCGTATATAAAAGACTGTACCAGGCATTGCAGCATGTCACGTACAATACAATTTTGGAACATGAGAAATATTATCTCGTTAATGTAATATATCATCATCAAATTGTTCGGCTGTATTCCTTGTATTATTTCTAACGTCACTATAAAGCAGGGTTTTGATTATTAACACATATATATATTATAAGCGACTGTACGGGACAACAACAGGTAACTGTTAACTGTTAACTCCTACAAGTAACTGTAGGAACCATTAAAGTTATTGTAATATTAGAAGTTTATTAATGAATTTATTTTTATTTCTTATATTTCAGGACCGATTTTGTAAATATATATATAGGGTGCTAAATTCCAAACGTAACAGGTAAGAAATCTAGAAAACTATGAAAGATATTTAAAAAAGCTAAAACACGTATTCCATGATTTCGAAGGGGAAAGAGAATGGCATTATCAGTTTTTTATTTGGAAGGCATTTTCAAAGTTGGTTGAAGGTCAACTTAATTTTTTTAAAAAGAAAACCCAATCTTTTATTATATTTTCTTTTTCTACCAATTAATTTTAACAACTTTTGTCTGAAACATTTTTTTATTTGCCTAATATTTTTTAGAAATATTTAAGGGAAACTTGGTAACTTTTTCAACATTTAACTTAAGATATCTCGCTAACTATTCGTCGACAGAAAAAATAGTATTAGACTTTTTTACTTTATTTACTATCAAATATATATATATTTTTTACTATTCTGTGGAAATCTATTCTACTTTTTTGTATAATGTACAGAACAATGTCAATATTATTTTCTATACATAAACTAAGCTGTAATATGTCAAACAATAAATTTAGAATATATATATTTTTATACTTTAAATAATACATAAAGATTTTTAGAAAATAAAGCAGATGCTGAGGACAGGATGAAGACTGAACTATAAAATATTTCTTTATCTCCAGCTCTGAGATTTGATAATCACAGAATGGCTGTGGTCGGTCTAGGAATAGTATCGCTGCTTCGAGATATTGTAATCACAGCACAGACTTTATTATACGAACACAAATGTTATTGTATACAATACATGACCGGAGGTTGCCGGTAGATCGGACAACCGTTAAGCTAAGACTCCATGCATGCGGTGAGCTCCGGCAAACGGCTGCGGAAAGCGACTCCATATGCGCGGCAAAGATTGCGTCACATCATTATTCTTTCAGTCCTGTTTGGTCAATCAATGGTTATTCTATTCGTTGAGTTTTGGAACGCAGCCCATAGTATTGTGTATATAAAAGCACTTCGAGTGACAACAATGTAAAAATTATAACAAAACAAAATAGAATTAATAAATTATTAACAAAACAAACAAAAATTATTAACAAAATAAAATATAATCGAAATAAATAATAAATAAGAATGAATCGCGATGAAAAGCTTGTTTTGCTATTGTACCTGCGAAGAAAACGACGATTAAAAAGGCAAGAACAAGTCATTCGGGAACAGCTCGATGGTGGGTTCGTCCTATGATAGAGCAACGTTATCTTCAAGGTGCTTACGATAATCTTGTGCTTGAACTTCGACATGGCACAGAACGTTTTTTCAATTTTCATCGCATGTTACGCAATGCCAAAGGCCAGTTTGCACCCGATGAAGGTGATGCTCTCTGTTTGGTGGGATTGCAAGGGCATAATCTATTTCGAGCTTCTCCCGCTGGCGAAACGATTGATTCGGACAAGTACTGTCGCCAATTAACCAATCTGAA